TGCCCCTTGTCGCTCAGCTCCCGACTCCACCCTGACCCTCCCAGGCCGGCTGCTCTCCAGCTCCTGCGAGGAAAGAATCGACTCTTCAGTGCTTCAGGTTTCTAACTACACCCAGGGCTTCGGGAGGGATGTAACTTCCTGGGAGAGGAACAGGCCAACCGAAAACTCAGATCGAGGAATTGGTGACTCACAACCAAGAGCTGCAGAGCGGGGGTAGCTGTCACTCCAGGAGACGAGGGCCTGGACGCTCGAGGTGGGAAACACCAACCAGCCCCAATCCGCCCGCCCCCCGTTCCCCAGGGGGCTGTCTCAGGAGCCCCGGAGAGAGGACATGAGCCCACAGGCCACGCTGGCAAGGCCCTCACTCGGAGACCTGGTCACAGGCCTGCCACGCCGTCAAGGCCGCGTGTCCTGAGCCCTCTCGCCTTCCTGGGAGGCGGCAGGCCTCACAAGGTCACTGACATGGACTGGAGGCCGCACCCGTGGCTCCTGTCAACGGCGAAAGCTGTTGTAAACTGTGTGATGGGTGGCTGTTGTCGGATGGGCTTCCCGACGTCTGGAGGACGGCAGGGGCGGGAGACGGGGGCCACTTGAGATTTTCCAGGCTTTCTCACCAGACAGGCCTCCCGCAGCCTGTTCTCCCCACCCGGCGGGCCCTGCCCAGGTGCCCGGTGCCCCAAGTTCCCCTCCCTCCGTGAGTCCAGGTCGGCGCCGTCCCCACGGCCGGCCACTCGGCCCCGCGCAACTACCCGTCCCGCATGATCGGATCGAGTGAAACAGAGGAGCCGAGGCAATTTTGTGCCGCCTGTTCACGGAGTGCGTCGACACCAGCCCCACGGCAGGGCCCTTGTCCTTCCCTCCTGACCCCGACCAGGCTCCGGGAGCAGCCCTTTAGAGGCCGTCGACAAGAGGAGGGAGGCCCAGTGTCCATCTGCCCCCGGGGCCCCGCTCCCTGGTGTAAAGGGCAATGCCTGGAGCCCAGAACACCCACACGTGTCACAGAAGGTTCGTCACTGGAATCAGCCCCAAGCAGCCCTCAACCAGCGGTGCCAACGGCCGACCCTCCTCCCGCAACGCCCCATGGGAGAGTGGCTGCTGGTCCATTCTGTTCTCTTAGCTCCCTGGCAAACCATGCCAGGTAAGGGACCGGCCCAAAGCCGAGGTGTTCCCAGTGCCCGCTCCTCCCCCGCACCTCCCAGGTGAGCGCAGTGGCCGCAGAAGCTACCGCCCCACGGATTGTGTGACGGACACACAGTCTGGGGGCAAGGTCCCTTTGTCCCAGGAGGGGTGTGTAAGGTGAGCAAGGAAAGAACGGCAGAATCACTCTGCAGAGAGAAAGAAAGAAAATAGCACACAACACACACACACACACACACACCAGCGAGAGACGTTGGGAATGGTGTTCATTTCCACAGACTGATCCCAAATCGCCTGTGAGGGATGATGTCACCCCCCAGCTACTCAGGGCGCTGCCAAAACGTTGGCGGAATCCAGATGTCGGGGCTCCCAGCACAAAACCCACAGCTGCATGCAATCAGCAGAGCGTCTCCTCCGAGGGCTGAGGCTTAGCCTGTTCCTCCCCCCCCTCCTCCAAGGAGAGGAGAGGAGCCCATCCAGGGAGGCCGCGTTGGCCCCGGGCCACGCAGGAGACGCCTTCGAGCAATCGCGGCTCTGAGAAGGCTCTGAAACGGCCCTTGGAAAACTTCTGAAAAAAACTCAAGGGTTAGACAGCCCCAAGCTGTGCTGACGTGGCCACCGAGCAGCCACGGGCGTCAAGGAATGAGCGTGGCTGAGTTCCAATAAAACTTTATTTACAAAAGCGGGCGGGGGGCTGGCAGGGGCACACAGGCTGCATTCTGCCAGGGCCCGAGCGAGAGGGGCCACTTCCCGGCCTCAAGGCCCGGGATAGGAACCTGACCCAGAGCCAACAGCAACAGCGTGCGGAACCCTGGGGCGGGGCGGAATTTCTGCAACGAGCCCCCGGGGGGGACGGGGAGATAAGACTCCATTCTGCAGGAATGTGGGGTCCCGCGCCCCACCTGGCAGCCCGGCCTGCGGAGTGGGGGCAGGGTCCCAAGGACCGTTTCTAGGACGTTTTTGCTTCTGGAAAGGAACGGACACGTTTCCAGTTCTGAAACCGGGGGCGGGTGGGAGGGGGAGAATTCTAAAAGTAAAAGTAAATATTTGAAAGGAGTGTTTGGGAATTCGCAGGCCCGGAGTGGGCTGCGGAGGCACACGGCTCCCCGTTTTGTCCGGCTCAGGGGCCTGGGCTGTTTCTTTCCCAGCTCCTGCACTTCTCAGAGGATAATGAATGTGGCTTTTCTTCACCACAGCTCACAGGCACGCCTAATCCCTCCTCTAGACCCCGGAGGCTCCCTGCGGTCGGGGATGCAGGGGAGGAAAACACGTTGTTCCGGTTGGCAGGCAACTTCCAGTCTGTTGATTCCAGGTCTGGGCAGTGGGTTGGACTCTGCCCTGACATGAGCAATGGAAAAAACCTCTCAGCTCGGAGCCTTTCGGATTTTAAAATTGCAGACAAGGGCTGCGGGCCTCTATTTATAACTCCCCTCCCCCACCTCGATCTCTCGTTTCTACTTGACTAAAACCCAAACTCCTCCCCAGCTGGGCCCCTGCGGGAGCCCTGCCCGGTCCTGCCTGGGCGCCACCCCGGCTCGGGGCACTCCCCCGGGGAGGCCTCCCTGACCTCCTGGCCTAGCTCGGCCACTCTCTCCTGCTGTCCTGTTTTATCTGCTTCAGAATTATGATCCCCGTTCCCAGTGATCTTATTCGCCAGTTGTCCCTGTCAGCCTCTCTCACAGGACACACGAGCCCCAGGAATTTGTCTGCTTCGCAAAGCTGCCTCCCTGGCCCCCGGCCTCGTCTGGCACCTGGCGGTGCTCACTCAAAACCCCAGGCATGAGGGGCAGCCACCCTCCCCACCGGGACCAGGCGCCTGGCCTGCAGGGGGGCGGCCCGTCCTGAGGCCTCCACCCCACCCCCACCGCGATCCCTCTTCCACCACCAGCAGGGACGCTGGGGGGACAGGGCAGGGCCAGGGCTCCCCCCAAGGCCCCAGAACAAAGGACCCTCCTCACTAAGCCGCCCTGGCCAGGAAGTGGCCGGCCCCCC